GAGTTGTAGTGCATCCCGATCCATTTGCCCTCGTGCCTGTCTATGATATTCCCTAAGCTCCGGCTGACGTCGAATCGCACTCGGCCGGTGAGCAGAGCGGAGATCCTTGCAGTTTCCCCTTTTGTCAGCAGGCTATATTGCTGCTCGACGCTATCTTGGTTCAGGAAGACGAACTCCTCGTTGGTCGGGGCAGGCGGTGCGGCCTGGTCTTCCTCGACCAGCTCCGGTGTAGCCTCCCGATTGCTAACCGGAGGTGCGGGCTCAGGGTAATCCCCAATTACCCAGGTCGGCGTTTCCTGAACGACCACCCGTCGGGGAGCTTCGTCCGCTCGTGGATGTTTGACCGTTCCTGCTGCGAGCGCTTCACAGCGTTCGCCTCGCCGACGTTGGCATAATCTGTAACCCTTCGAAGGGCTTCTTCGTACGTGGTCGAGGGGTGAATGATGAAATCCTGATAGAGATAACCCGCCCGGAGAGAAATATGGAGCATGTGGGTGGCGGTGGCGTCGTCCATTGGCCCGACCTCCCCGACCGCGGCCTTCCATTTAACAAGGAAATGGGTCAAGCTCTCACATTCAAGCTGCTTGGCCTTTTCCAAGTACATATAGGGCTTCCTCACCACCTTGGAGGTGATGAACTTTCTCACTAACTTGATCGCCAGGGTATTAAAATCAGCAATAGAACCTGGTTGCATCGTTCGGAGCCACTCCGCCGCCTGACCGGAAAGCGTGGTGTAAAAATCCCTGCACATCACGGCGTCTGTCACGCCCTTCATCATCATATTGCCGTAGTAATCATTGACATGGACCTCAGGATCCGTATGGCCATCGTAAATCTTCTCCCCCGAGACCTTCAAGTCGAGCGGGTATGGCTGGGCCATTATCTCCGTTGTAAAGGGCGTTCTCAACAAGGACGACTGGTCGACCGGGGGTCTCACAGGATGCTCGTTCCGGAATTGAGCGAACTCCGCCTGGAGGTTGTAGAGCAGTCCTCGGGTCTCGTTGAGCTCGGCCGTCTGGGCTTGGGTTGACTCCCGAGCGCGTCGTCGACGGTGAGATCTCGACCCACTGTGCCCGGATGAAGCCTCCTGGCTGGCCTCCTGCATCTGTACATCTCCCAGGTGTCGGCCCGGGTCTTGTGGTCCCAAGAGCGCATCGCCGGTCGGAGGCACTGAAAAGCCGCTACCCGGTTGACTTCTTCGGGGTCCTCTGTTTGGGCTTGAACCACTGGTTGTACTTGTGGAACCTGCCGTGATACCTCCATCGCATCAGCACCCACCGAACCCAACCGCGAACGAGCCGAGCGTCGAGCCCGGGAAGTGGGCTGATGCTCCGGCTCTACTTGAGCAGTCGGGTAAATCGGAGGGGCGGCGGCTGGAGCCGTGCACGCAGGCGTATAAGGAGGGTAGCCAACCGGTGGTGGGACTGGGTAAGGATACTGCCCAGGGAACTGGGGCTGCGGACCGGGTGTCGGATATCCCGGCTAGATGTAATTGACCGGCTATTGGGGGGCCGGATATTGAGATGCTGGATGGGGTGGTGAGAGGTTGAGATTAAGGTCGACTGTCTGACCTTGATACTGGGTCGGCTGGTGATCGGATGAGCTCGCCGCATCTGCTTGATCGTCACGAAATAGGTCGTATGAGTATGGATACATTGTGATAGGAAGGACGGGTGCTCGTCAAGACGTTAGCTTTCGTGCACGGGTCCCCACAGACGGCGCCAAAATGATAGTGTTAATTGCCACGTAAGCGGTAGATAAACTATGACAAGACCAATTAAAGCAAATAAATATCTTTCATTGATCAAGATGAAGGCCCTAAGTACAATCTAAATGGTTGTTCCGAGTACCGACTGACTGCGGTCGGGATGCTCTGATAACAACCTATCGATCGTCCAAAAAGTCCCCCACACTGTTGCTACTGCGGGTATTTATAGCCGCTGGCCCGGAGACATAAGTCCGGCCGTTCGGCATGTCATCCACGTAGCAATGACGTGTCTTCACCCCGTAAGCCCTGCCTGTCAACGCCTAACGCTGCCACGTGCCTCCTGGTGGCTCTCGCGCCTAAGGGCTCTCGATCGGGCAACGAAGACCTCGGTCGGGTACCAACCCGGTCGGGCACGACCAGGCTCTTCCAAGAAGATCCGACCTGTAACCTGCATAAACAAGAATAAAAGACAAAGGCATGTCGGTCGGGGTATTCCCTACCACCCCCCTACAACCGCAAAGAATATGAGCCCTTATGCCATCATCAACAAAACAAATCCTAACTATTCCTTCCTCCGTGTCTTTGATTGCCTATGTTTTTCCTATCTTTATCCCTACAATAAACACAAAATAGAGTTCCATTCTAACCCATATGTTTTCCTTAGGCACCTAGAGTCATTTAGAAGATATCGTTAGTTGAATCTCAATATTTGAAAAAATTCTTACAGTTCGCCATGTCCGATTTGATAAGAATGTTTTCCATTTTGTGGCTAAAACACCTCCATTGGTTTATACTTTGACTCAAGATGCAATGTTGGGGGCTGTCGTAACCGCACCAAGCAGAACTAGCAGCCAGGAATTCGACATGGTCGTATCACCCATCTAGAGATGGACACAATCGCAACACACTTTGGACATGGTTGTGTCACCCAAAGCACTGCCCTAGCGACAATTGACACGGTCGTGTCGCCGTTCTAGAGAGGGACACGGTCCTGACACACCCAGGACACGACTATGTCAACGGGAACCCCCTCCCCCCTCCCGACTGATTTCAATCCCGAACATCCTCTAGTTGTTCCTTCTAGGCACGAGAGATGACAACTAACACCCTCGAGTCAACGTACACATCCTACGGTCCTCCACAACATGACTCGTGACTCCACAGGTAATAAAGCTCTAATTGTATGTATAGATGACTCCAAACCCACATGACATTCTCAGGCCGTAAAGAGCCCCGAATGGCGAACAACCATGGATGTATATGGGTGTTTCGAATCAAGAGAAAAGCTGATGGGTCAATTGAACGATACAAAGCCAAACTTTTTGCGAAAGGGTTTAATCAGGTTAAAAGAGAAGATTATTTTGACACTTTCAGTCTGATGGCTAATCCAACTATAGTAAGACTTCTCTCATCTCTTGCTATAACAAAATATTGGTCTGTTATACAACTCGATGTTCACAATGCTTTCCTCAATGGTTGTCTAAGTGAGAATGTTTATATGAAGCAACCACTAGGTTATATTGACACCAATTTTCCTACTCATGTTTGTAAACTACAAAAGTCTCTATAAGATTTTAAGTAAGCACAACGTGCATGGTTCAAACGTCTTCATGATTGTCTACTCTCGATTGGTTTCAAAGCTTCGAAAACTAATGTATCATTGTTTATTTATTCTGCTACTAATTCTCAAATTTATTTTCTTGTCTATGTTGATGACATTCTAATAATGACCATCAACAAAAGTTTCTTGACTTCTATAACAAACAGACTAGCTGAAAATTTCAAAATTCGATATATAGGACCTCCAAGATTCTTTCTGGGAATCGAGACAATTCACAACAAGGGGGTAATGATTCTTTCACAACGAATATACATGCTTGAAATTCTCAAAAGATCTGGAATGGAACATTGCAAACCAATATTCGCTCCCATTCTAGTCAACAACAAGCTAAGTGCAAAAAACTCATCTGAACCAAATGGCAATCCCACTCAGTATCGCAACTTAGTTGGAGCGCTTCAATATCTTACTGTCACTTGTCTAAAGCTTTCCTATCCATTAAAAAACAAAAAAACACTGTCGGTTTATGCACTCTCTAACCAATGAGCACTAGGTTGCCCTAAAGCGTGTCATAAGGTATGTCAAAACTACTCTAAACCATGAGCTATATTTTACGAAATCATACTCAAATGAAATTCATGCATATTTAGATACTGATTGTGTGGGATGATGTCCTGATGATCGCAAGTTTACTAGTGGTTTTGCGGATTTTATTTGAACAAATCTATTCTCTTAGGTCTACCCCAAACAAAAGACATTTGCTAGATCCTCAACAAAAGTAGAATACAAAGCTATAGCTAATGTCTCAGCAAAGGTAACATGGCTAGTTGCTTTAATTCGAAAACTTGGTCTCACTATGCAAAAACATTAAAACTTTAGTGTGACAACCTTGGTGCTACCTATTTGTGTGCAAATCTTGTGTTTCATACTCCAACCATGTTAAAATAGACTGTCAATTTGTCAGTGACAAAGTATGATCAGAGGAACTACAAGTAAACTATATCTCTACAAAGGACCAACTAACAGACATCTTCACCAAGCTACTAACCACATCAAGGTTCAATGGTTTAATGTACAAACTCAATATTCTCTCAAGAGAACCTTAAGTTTGAGGAGACGTGTTAGAACTCTGTATATATTCTTGTGACACTATAATTCCTTCTCCATATCTTTATATTATTGTAAAGCTACCTTTTATCATTCCTGGTCTGACTAACACTAATTCTTCCTATATTGTGTAAATTAAATTAATCAATAATAAAAAAATTCTTCGAATTATTGTTATCATCAATTCAAGTATAGTTATGAATGAATGAAGAGACGCATGCATGCATGCCTAGATGGGTTTGGAAAGGAGATCAATATCGGATCTTGAATGCTTGATTTAGGAAGCATGCAACTATTGTACTACAAAAGTCTACAATAATTATGGATAGCTTGAAAATGTCTGCTACCGCGTGGGTCACGCGCATTGAATGCGTGTACGATTAGCAACGGGCATTAAATGGGAAAATTTTGTATGTCGCCCACAAAAGGATAACGACCGGAAACATCAAAACCATTGGGTCTGCTAAAAGTCCAGCAATGATGTAGACACATTTAAGAATGTGTTTGCCTGCCTGCCCTCTCCCTCTCCCCTTCGTGTCTCCATACTTACTCATAGGTCTCATCCAACCCCCCCCCCCCCCCCCCCCAAAGGGGTGTGACGTACTCTATGTGTGTATATATATATACTCCAATTGCCCATATCTGACCTGTATCATATCAGAAACTTTGAAAATAGATATCAGTGTTGTTCTGTGGGATGAGTATGATGGATCTTCAACTGGGACTGGCTCTTCCTAGAACTGGGTTTGAGCTTAATTGCTGGGAAGTTAATGAAGCCAACAAGAATTGTGGTCAAAAAATGAAGAAGCGCAGAAGATTTGACGAAGCCTCTGAGTCTAAGGAGGAGTCTGGGGCAGAGAATGATGTTGAAGTGATTCCAACTTTGCCTTTGCTTGTTTGGGACAAGAATCCTCATCACACGAATAATGAGGATAGAAACTCTACCAATACTAACAGGTACCAATTAATCCATTGTGTATAATTTTTCACAAAATTAATTAAATGTGATATATATTTATTGTATATAATAATAATATAATAGAGAAGATGGGGATGAAGAAGGTGTGGTGGGTTGGCCTCCCATCAACTCAGTAAGAAGGAAGCTCTACCACCAGCAGCGCCACCGCTGCTGCGAGGTGAATGTGGAGAATGGCGGCGGCGGCGGCCACCGGAGAAGATTAAACAACTCGGTGTTTGTGAAGGTGAAGATGGAGGGTGTAGGAATAGCAAGAAAGATTGACCTAACTGCTCATCACTCTTACCAAACACTCACTAACACCTTAATTGCCATGTTTGGAAGAAGTAAGTCCATCAACTATATATTATTATTATTATTATTTTAATTTTTTATCAATACTAATTAATCATAAATGTACAAAAATAGAAGCTAAAATATTTGTGTTCTACAAACTCAAACACCTCACTTTTTAGCTTGTCATCAATTTATCTAAAATTACAATGACTACAAATTTGAGAAAATATTGTAATCCAAAAAATAAATAAATTTAGCTCTAATTTATGGGAAAATCCACGGCGGTTACTATAAGGAGCTAAGCTGGTATAAGTTGCGCAGTTGATCGGTTTACTAAGAAAGTCAATAGACAATTTCCCGTTAAACTTAGAACATTGTAGTTACCAAGCCAGCTATCTAACTAACTTGGCTTGGGTTGCCAAAAAAAAAAAGTTAGCTTCTATTTTATGGCTTTTGGATTCAAAATCGATAATTTTCAACTATTAAAATTGTTTTAGTAAAGTCATCGAATACTAAAAATGACACATCTTCAATAGTTTATAATTAAGATTGATTTTGGATTTGTAGATTTTAAAAAAATAAAGCTAAGAAATAAAATAATGGGTGAAGTAATTCAGAATCAACTCTAAAAAAAAATTAATAATAATAATAATAATAAATGAAAAAAAAAAAAAATTGAATATGCTCCTAATGATATGGAGATACAGGTGAGGAAGAAGTGGAGGCATATAAGCTGACTTATGAAGACAAGGAAGGTGTGTGGGTGGTTGCAGGGGATGTAGCATGGAGGTATGTGAAAAATTAGTATTTCTCCATTATATTTTCCAACTATTTATAATATTGTTCAGAAAATATTTTCATTTTGGAATTTGTGGATTTTGCAGAACATTCATCCAGTCAGTGCATAGACTAAAAGTGGTTAAGAAAAGGGAATGAGCAGATCAGATTGTCTCAAGTGTCTGGATTATATTATGGATATATGTTTCTCCCTTTTGTTCTTAATGTTTTCTATTTTCCTTATTATTATTATACAATCTCTATTTGAGCTTTTAATAGCTATTTTGGGTAGAATATGAATGTTTTGGCATTTTAATCTTGAAAAAAATTTGTCAAGCACCTTATGTTCAATTGATATTTCTGTGACTCCTTGAGAGAAGATCACATGATCAAACTCCGATAGTGGGATATTGACTCAGTTGAATTACAACTGATAGAGAACCTCATTCAAACCTTAACTAAGGCAATGTTTTTTTGTTTCTAATTTATTGAAATGGTTTGTTGAAGTTCAAAGAATTTTAAAAGAATAAAATAAAAATCAAATTATAATTTTTTGCAAATTATATCATAGACCAAAGTTCACCTTGTATTGTATGCTCGTTCAAAACGGCATTTAGATCTATAGTTAACATATTATGTACATTTAGTTAACCGGTTATGTACTTGTAATTAAACTGAAAGTACATAATATATCTATATTATGTCTATCATGCGCAAACACGGCAAATTATTGTGTGGTTGTGTGGATCATGGTCCAAAATGATGTTGTTGAATTTTATGAGTTAGAATAATGTACATTATGAGTTAGAATAATGTATTTTATGTGTTATAATAATGTACACTATGTGTTACAATAATGTACTTTATGTGTTAGAATAATGTGCATTATGTGCTGGAATAATGAAAATTTTGGGATAAGATAATGTACTTTATGATAATAATGTACTTTATGCTTTATAATAATGTACATTATGATTCATAAAAATGTATGTTGCAGCGGGTCGCGTTATAAAAAATACGTGAAACAACGTTATTTTTGGACCGTGGTACACATAGCTGTGTGGGCCACGCTCCATGCAATAATAACTATTGCTCCAAGATAGGACAAATTATTGTGTGGACCATGATTTCAATATACATTTTAATATATTAAAAGTACATTATTTGTGTATTGAATGTACATTATTTGATAATATATCAAAGATTATGTACTATATATATACAAATAATGTACTTTTAATATATTAAAAATGTACTTTTTACTTATGATTCACTACAAATGTATGGACCATGGTCCATGGAATAATGATTGCACAAACACTTATCCACAATTCAACAATCGTTATGTTGTGGAACCGTGTCCACCTTGCAAGGTGGACGCGGTTCTATGTTCATAATTACTGAACTATATATTCATAATCATTTAAAGCTACATATTCATAATTGTTGAACTCTACAATTACAGAATTTTATGTTCATAATTACTAAATTATATGTTCATAATTATAAAGCTATATATTCATAATTTTTGAACTTCATATTCACAATTATTGAATCTCTATATTCATAATTACAAAACTATATATTAATAATTATGTTCACAACTCTATATTCAGAATTATAAAACTATATGTTCATAATATTTGAACTATATATTCATAATTACGAATATATATATATATATATATATATATATATATATATATATATATATATATATATATATATATATATATATATATATATATATATAGGCTTCAAATCTGGTGCACCCCTATGATACATGAGTCCATGAGCTCTCAAGATATCCATAGATTAATTTTTCATGAATGGTTAAGATTATAAGAGATCTTTTAATTATTTAAGGACATATAGAAATCAAAATGATTAAATTGTAATTATATTTATGTGTTTAATTATGGATATGATAGTAATGGAATCTTAAGCATTAAATTATGGATATTATGAATGGTAATTTATTGATAAAGGTACTATGCAGTCAACTGTTGAAATAAAAAACGCGTGAAAAAGAGAGGGAGTGCAGACGAACGGGCGGGAGTAGACAGCGAACCAAGGCGCACACTTCTCGAATGGCTTGTAGCAACACAGGTAAATGCATAGGCGTGTCTAGGCATGTGCGTATGTTGTGGAAAATTGTTTCTAAGATTTGTGTTGTTGGGGCGGACGAACTATAAGTTAGGTTTGTTTGTGTGCCGATGATAACAGCGTCTAGGTGTGAGCGTGGTTGCTTAGTTGCTTGTGCAAACACCCGGGTTTATTGTAACGACTAGAGGAAACGAAAGTTCAGAGGGCGGGTGCATTGACGACCAGTAGTCTGTGCATAGCGTGTACGTATGAGTAGGGCTTCAGTTTTTTTAATAAAATTATTATTTGTTTGGTTTGACGAGCTAAATGTAGCGAGACGTGTGTGCATGCGGGACTGTGTTCAGATAGTGTGGAACGACATGAATTTTGATTCCAACTTGTAATGATGTTAGATTATTAATAGGGTGCGTAGACCTACATTAGTCTATGCATAGTAGTATATAAACGGTGCGGTAATTGGTTTTGTTTTTTTTTTTTTTAATTTATATGCCTATTGTTATCTGTGTTATAGTTTTTTTGGATGACCTAACATAATGAGATGTATGTGCGTATGATACAAATGTTTGTAGTACAGAAACGACATGGATTTTTATAACAACATGCAATGATGTTAGTTTGGTGGGGAGTGCGTAGACAACGATAAGTGGGTGCGCACGGTAACAAGCTACTACGCACAAACCACGACACCTAACCACGGAACCCCACAAAACTCCTAACAAAAAAAAAAAATAATAACACGCACCAACCCAATACCAGTAGCGCACCAACATAGAATGCAAAAAACAACATAAAAACCAAAAGTGCCAATTAGCAACAACACTTTACCCAAACTTGCACACGATTAGTAACAACTACGCACAAACCACCACACCTACCACGGAACCCCCCACCCCTCCTAACAATAACAAAAATAATAAACACCCACCAACCCAATACCAGTAGCGCACCAACCCGAATGCAAAAACAGAAAAAATCAAGCACGAGGCACAATCCAAAACACCAAACCCGAAAACAGAAAAAATCGAGATCCCAAATGCAATCGCCCCTGCAAAATACTCAAAACCAAAGCGCCATCGACCTACTGTGGAAATGTCTTTCATAAAAAGAAAAGAAGAAAAAAACAAATACACTATGAAAAATATGATTACATTGTCTGAAACAATCATACACAAGCATGCAAAAAAAAAAAAAAAACGTAAACATAAATAACATGAAAAATAACCCCGTCAACACCGTAAAAGATAACCCCATCACAGACCAAATAACCACACATTTGAAGCCTCAAACCTTTTAACCTAAAACAATATTGTGCACATACCAAACACAAGAACGCACACGCCATGAAATAAAAGAAGAAAAAAAAAAAAAAAAAAAAAAAAAAAAAAAAAAAAAAACCCGATCATCTAGCTACCGTACGGAAAATGAAAAACCACCATGAACATTATTCACATGCAAAAACACAACAACATTCATTCCTAAACCTATGGATGAATACAAATCAGTGAACCTTAATTTCACCTTAAAAACAAAATCAACACCAGAAAAAAATAGCATTCTAAAGCTAAACAAAGAATACAAGCACAAACTACTAATCACTGAACCTTAATTTCACACGATTACCTCCTACTAAGCACAAACCTGCATACCAAATTATGAAACACAAACGCGTTCGGAAAATAAATAAATAAATAAAAGCATTGTGCCCGAAGGATCCCTAACCCACCTACCCAGCCCCCAATACCCTCCAAGCTCGCTGAAACCACCCACAACATCACAACCCCCCATCCCCACAGTCAACACCCCCCTACCAGATGAAAAAAAAAAAAAACACAACAAACCACACATGCAAGAACTCCTACGCCGCCCCCCACCCCACCCCCCCCCCCCCCCCCGGAAAACAAAACCAACTATAAGAAAAACTCAACACCTCCGGAACACCTATACCAAGACCGCCTACGTTTATATGAAAAAAAAAAAAAAAAAAAAAAAAAACCTAACCCAGAAATCGTACACCACCACCCATCACATCCGCCGAACCCCCACCCCAAACCCCTACCGGCCCGACGAATGCAACGACAAGCACCCAGGTGAAAACCCAAAAAAAAAAACAAAAAACAAAAAACAAAACAATCAAAACCACACCGCGTGAAAAATACAAAATCATAAACCCCAACCCAACCCCCTACTGAACACTAGCAAACCCACAGTCCTCGGGAAAAAAAAAACCGGTAACAAACCACAAAAGATGAAAAAAAAAGATACAAGAAATCGGTGAAAAATATTACCTGAATTGGAAGCGGAAGAGATGCCCCTAAGCCGCTTAGATTGCCTCCTGCTGGAACCGGCCATGAAGAACGCTCGGAACACCGGTGTACCGGAGGGAAGAGTCGAACGGAAGGAGAGCAAACGATAGAAACGAGGGGTCTGTGAGAATGGATTAGGAAGGAGAGAGAAACAAAAAGAAAATCCTATTGTAACTCTAGACACACGCAAATCAACCGGTGAAGAATAGGGGTTGTAATATTAAAGACAAAGAGAAAGTACAAAAACTACCCATGCCTACACTAAGGCTTGAACTCATAATCTTTCAAATGGAAATCCAACCCGAGTACCATTAGACCACATAATCCTGGTAAGTAATGTATTTATATGGTTATATGCATAGATATAATTTAATGTGTGGATATATATAGTATATAAATATATAATATTATATATTAAGTAGGATGTGTATATATATAATATAGATGTGTGTAACGTGTGTATATATAATATATATGTAATATCTTTTCCTTTTGGAATCAAAATATTTTTTTTTTTTGAATGTTACTAGCTCTATTACATTGTAGTATCTGTTCATATACTTTCTCAACCAACTGAAACACAAAGAGCTAATAACGCCTCCACTGAGGCTTAAACTCACAACCTTCCAAACGGAAGTCCAACCCGGGTACCATTAGACCACATAGCCCTGGTGGAATCAAAATATATTATGATTGGAAGTAATCAATCTCTTCCTATGCCGTATTAATGACTATTAAATTATTTCATAAATATTAGTTTACTACCTATAAAATTATGTAGATGAGAATTAGAAAATTTGGTCTTCAATTCCTCCATTTTCCTCCATTGCCATGAACTTTTCTACAAAATAAAAATATATATTTTCTTCTTCTTCTTCAAGGTTGGAACTCTCCTTTCAACAAGTGCCTTGTAAGTGTTATTCCTTTATTTTATTTTATTTAATATTTAGTATGGGTAGAATAGAAGTAGGGACCTTAACATTTTACGGGTGCTTATGTGTACCTTGTGTTGTTTTATTGTTGATGATGATGGTGGTTGATAGAAGAGGAGCTGTCAATTTCATAATTACATATAGGTATAATAGGATAATACTATATTTATATATTATTATATACATATATATCGTACATCATATAGAGTTATTAGGAATTTTATATATATATATATATATATATATATATATATATATATATATATATATATATATATATATATATATATATATATATATATATCGTTATGCTGTGCAACCGTGTGCACCATGCATGGTGCACATGGTTGCAAAACAACGTCGTTTCATTTTTTTTTTTTTTAAAAAATCTCATTCGGATCGTCGTTAACGGCGTTAGGCAGTTTCCTTTCATATTCAAACAGTACGATATATCCATAATTTCATAACTATATATCTACAATTTCATAACTATATATCCACAATTTCATAACTATATGTCTAAAATTACATAACTATATATTCATAATTTGACAATAGTACATTCAGAAATAATAACTACACATTCATAATTTCATATCCATATATTCATAATTTCACAACTAGACATTCACAATTACTTAACTCCATATTCAGAATTCTTAAAGTGCTTGTTAACAGAGAACCATATCCATAATTGCATAACTGCACATCCATAATTTCAAAACTATATATCCATAACTTCATAACTATATATTCATAACTTCATAACTATATATTCAGACTTGCATAACTATATATTCATAATTACATGTCGATTGGAGTTTTTGTAAAAAAAAATAAAAATAAAAAAATTTATTTGATTGGTGGAGTTAAACAGTGCCACTAATGGCACCGTTACTCCATCATATTAAACAGTATCGTTTTGCAACCGTGTGCACCATGGTGCACACGGTTGCACAGCATAATTTGCGTATATATATAGGGGTGGGTTCCTGTGAGATCACCTTCCCATATGAGATCGTGAGATTAAATCGTATGCATCCATCTTCAAAATATTAATGGTGTCATGGGTGAAATAGTAAACAAATGTAGGAGTTATATTTGTATTTAAATTGATATAATATCTTTTCCATGTTTGTAGGAATTTTAATAATGGTTGGAATGCATCCAAGAATTTTCTATTCACAATCCCTAATCCTACAGTTAGGTTACTGGTGAGACAACATTTTGGTTTTTTTTTTTTTTTTTTTTTGTTCTTGTTTCGATATATTTTACCGCCATACACCACTACAAAAAAAATGCGGAAATAACGACGAATTTAGCGACGGATGCATTCCGTTGCTAATGTAGCGACGGAATAGCGACAACTTAGTGACCGATTTTATTTTTTTGTGAAATAGAATTTTAGCGACGAATTAGCGACGGATTGGGGACAGATATTGCGACGGAACACTGTTGTCGTTAAATACGTAGCTATTATTAGCGGGAATTTTTGGCGCAAAACTTAGAGATGGATTTTTCACGGGTTAATTTCTTATTTTTAATAGCTACAGACTAGCGATGGAAATAAACATCCGCCGCTAATCTTTCAAGTGGCATGTATTCGTGATTCAAGTGTAGCGACGGATACGCATATCCGTCGCTAAAATTTGTACGGACTTTAGACATCGTAGCGACGGGTATGTGGATCCATCGCTATATAACGACGGACGGTGAATTCGTTCGACGATGTCTAAAATAGTTTTTTCGTATGAGTTGTATAGCGACGGACCGATAAATTTGTCGCTAAGATGTCTACAATGGTTTTTTCGTATGAGTTCTATAGCGACGGACGACGGATTTGCTAATCGGTCGCTAGGAGCTGGAGAATGGTAAATATCAGAGCTTATTTTTAATAAAATATAGCGACGGAAGTTGTAATCCGTCGCTGGATTTCATAAATCAAAACTTACTTCGTACTAAGGGTTTTGGAATCAGCTTATTCTTCACGCTCACAGCCTCCAACCGCCCACAGCCCATAGCCGATGGCGTCTCCTCCCCAACTGCCCATAGCCGACGGCATCTCTTCCCCTGCCGCCCACAGCCGACGACGTTCAGTGCCGCCTACTCTGGTAAGAATCTGCGAAGGCTCAACGAAGGCTTGCTCTCGAACTGCGAAGAATCTGGAGGTAATTCGTTTATACCTTTATGCTATTTTACTTAATTTCTACATTGTATTGGGTTATAAGTAATGCATCAATTTTGCATTACTTCTTCCTCGTTTGCTCTTTACTCCAACATACATGAACACGGCGTCTGATTATATCTCCCTTACCTTGAGTCATTGCCCTTCTTTACATAAATAGACAAAAGCTGGGAGTATCAGCTAGTTCCTGTACAGAAATCACATATACCCAAATGAAATTGATCCAATGTTTGCACTCTATCAATGAAAATAGTGAACTATGCCATTAAGTTGTTCACATATTCTCACCCTGCCATTGAGTTGTCCAATCATCTCTTCTTATTAAAATAGGTTAAAATAATTGCCTTTGATTTAAACATATGACATTCGTGTGATGAGCTATTTTAGGATTTTAGGATTACCATACAGATTCAGTTTTCTTTGGTTATAGGCAAATAATTCTTGCTCAACTTTTTAATACTACATTCGTGTGATGAGCTATTTAGTACACATGAGTTAAGGAATAAACCTTCCGCCAATATTTAATACTTGTTTGTAAAAGTTTAGTGTTAAAATAAAACTCTAGGCAGTGTAGTATATAAATTAAAATTTACGATCTATTATTCCATGTAGTATTAACTCAGAGTTTAGTGTTAAAATAAATAATTCAGTGTGGTATATAAAATAAAACTCAAGTATAGTAATATATAGGATGTTTCAAAGTTTGAATATTATTATATATTGTTGGTAAGTTGTGAAAGGGAGACATGTTTGAATGAGAACTAAAAATGGATGGGTTTTGATGATGAGTTTGATGATGTGTTTGTGTTGTTGAGTGTGAGCACTGAGCAGTCAAATATGATAAGTGAGATTTTTTCCTTTCTTTTGAAAAAGAAATAAACTATACCAGGAGCTTTTTGTTGCAAACAAATAGAAAGTTTGTTGTAGTGATAATTCTGCAAGAGCTTAATTAAATTATCCAGTAAGTGTTTCATGAGTTTAGAGAGTGATCTTTGTTGCTAGAGTTTAGGTAGTATAGCTCCTGTAATTTTTAGTGTAATTTTCTTCATGTTAACATGGTTTGTATAATGAGCCTCAAGCCTAGTCTTATAAATCAAACAATAAAGTTTCAGTATCTGATGTCTAAATATCTGATGTCTTCTGCATAATGGTTTCAGTATCCTGTTCTATATTAAAGTTTGTTCTTGATGGTGGGTGTTTCTTTATTCTGTTTGCAAAGTTTCTTCCTCTCTCATGTAGAAGAATAAAGGAAAAATTCAAGTGTGTTAGCACTTTTTATGTTCTTTTGTCAGTGGTAGGCCTACTGGATTCCTTATCCTTTTAAACATGGAATTCTTCTATCATCCAGTGTACTTTAATAAAATTCCTTGCTTGTATATAAAGGGAATGATCTTTTTCTTTTTCCAAAAATGTCTTGTGAAGAATCTCATTTAGTAAGTAATATGTTCCTCATTTGCCCAGAAGAATATTTATATGACATGGAATACTTTACTTGTATTGGTCTATAAATAAAATTTAGTAGAGTTATACTTCAAATACAGATTCTTACCTGCTTGTGCCATTTGTTCCAGACTAAGTTGTGTCCAAATTGTAAACCCATTCTTTAGAAATTGTGTACTTATTGGAAAATTTTGTTGTAGTGCTTATCTATATTATTGTCAGCTATTGTGTTTTATTTGCTGTCTTTGTGAGCTCAAAATAGATGGCTAAGCGCCCAATACTATCATGGTATAATTGCAGTTTCAAGTCGAGAATCAAAAGTATTGGCTGGGAATTGCGTTATTACATTCAAAATTATTCAAGCTCTTCTTCGATTGATAAGGTTTGAACAATTACAAATTTTTCATTTGTTCTTTATTTGCCGGCTAAACCGCCTGTGGGTACCGGAGGTTTATGAAAATATGCATAATTGTTTATTTGAATCTCTTTATTTGCCGGCTAAACCGCCTGTGGGTACCGGCACATATGTTTTCTCCGGCTAAAATATGCAAGGTTGCAAGTGTAGTTTTTTGTTTTTTTATTTATTGAAATGTAGCATTGAAAAATATAGGTGATACATACAATGAGTTCAAATCGTCATTGGATGTATACACGAATTAGAAATGGTTTTCTCACTGAAGAGTTTTTGGCTGGTCTTGAAACTTTCATCCAATTTGCTACTAGTCAACATAGTTGGATGGACGTGGAAAGAATTAAGTGTCCATGTAATCAACGCAAGTGTCAAAACACCAAGTTTTTAGATGTGCCTACCGTGAAATTCTACTTAGCAAAATATGGATTTGTGTCGGACTACTATGTTGGGCGCTTCCATAGCGAGTGCAATGTGAGTGTAGATGTTGATCGAGACGTTGGTAGCCCATCTCAAATAGCTAGTGAAAAAGCTTCTAATGCTTACCACACAATGGTTATGGATGTTGCTGGTCCTGATTTTAATGTGGATGAAATAGAAGAATCGCCAAATCCCAAGGCCCAAAAGTTTTATGATATGTTGAAAGCTGCAGATCAAGAGTTGTGGCCTAGGAGTAAAAAACACTCGCAGTTGTCTCCTGTAGCTCGACGTATGAGCTTGAAATACGAGAATCACATATTAGAAAAATGTTTCAATGAATTCACTAAACTTTTGAAAGAAGTTGTTCCGAAGGATAATATAGTTCCTGACAACTTCTACGAAACCAAAAGGCTATTATGGGGTATGGGATTGCCGATTCAGAACATTGATTGTTGCAAGAACAACTGCATGATATATTGGAAGTCAGATATAGATATGAAAACGTGTAAGTTCTATGCCCACCCTCGATTTAAACAAACTTCTCGTGGTGCTACCAAACGACAAAAAACTAATGTAGCATACAAAAAAAAATGTATTACTTTCCTCTGGTTCCTCGACTGCAGAGGTTGTATGCATCTAATGCTATAGCAAATGATATGAAGTGGCATGCAAATTCAGTTGAAGATGGAGTCATGCGTCATCCCTCAGACTCGCTTGCTTGGAAGAATTTTAACCTACTTTATCCTGACTTTGCCTCTGAAATTCAAAATGTTAGGTTAGGTCTGTGCACCAATGGTTTTCAACCATTTAGACAGTCAGGACAACAATACTCCTCATTGCCTGTGATACTAACAGCGTACAACTTGCCTCCTTGGATGTGTATGAAGGAGGAATATATGTTCTTGACCGTATTGGTTCCAGCTCCAAAAAAATCCAAAAGAGAAGATAGATGTTTTTTTACAACCGCTTATTGCGGATTTAAACCAATTATGGGAAGTCGGTGTTCAAACATATGATATTTCAAAGAAGCAGAATTTTCATATGCGAGCTGCTCTTATGTGGACAGTTAGTGATTTTCCTGCATATTCGATGTTATCCGGGTGGAGCATTGCTGTAAGGTTAGCTTGTCCATATTGCATGGACAAGTCGGATGCCTTCACCCTAATAGTGGTAAGCAATCGTGGTTTGACAATCATCGAAAATTTTGCCACCTAATCATCCATTTCGCAGAAATAAGACAACGTTCTTTAAGAACAGAGCGGTTACAACTTAGGCACCGCTTGTTCGGTCAGGATATGATATCCTTGTAGAGATTGAAACTTTAGGCCTTAAGAAGATCACTGAATTGGATGCAGCTGACGTTAATGGATTCATTTCCAAAACTTGCGGTTGGAAGAAGCGAAGTATCTTTTGGAATTTGCCGTATTGGAGTTCACACTTGGTACGACATAATTTGGATGTCATGCATATAGAAAAAATGTGTTTGATAACGTGTTCAACACAGTAATAGATGTTACTGGAAAAACAAATGACACATATAAATCTAGAGAAGAGCTAAATGATTATTGTCGGCGGCCTGAGCTGAAGCGAGACCTTGTGGCCGGAAAGTTCCCAAAAGCTTGTTACACACTTGACAAACCGGCAAGGGAAGCATTGTGTGAATATGTTAGGAATCTCAAATTTCCTGATGGCTATGCATCTAATATGAGTCAATGTGTAGATATGAAGAACTGGAAGTTGTTTGGTATGAAAAGTCACGACTGTCATGTGCAGAGGTTAATACCAATTGCATTTCGTGAGTTGCTCCCGCTAAATGTTTGGAAAGTTCTTACAGAGTTGAGTTTATTCTTTAAGAACCTTACTTCCACTACAATTGCAGTTGAGGAAATGACGAAGCTTGAGAATAACATACCTCTCATTCTATGTAAACTTTAACGTATATTTCCTCCTAGTTTCTTCGACTCAATGGAGCATCTACCAATCCACTTAGCTTATGAAGCAAAGATTGCTGGTCCAGTTCAAATTGAAAAATAATGTCAAAAATAAAATGAAAGTCGAGGGTTCTATATCCAATGCATATTTGGTGGAAGAAGCATCATCGTTCTGTTCATACTATTTTGAGGACCATGTTAGCACGAAGCACAGAAACGTGCCTCGAAATGCGGATATTAGTGAATATGTAGTTGATGAACATGAAGAAACTCTTTCTATATTCAAGTATCCAGGTCGAGCATTTGGTAAAGCAAAAGCGAGATATATGACAAATGAAGAGTATAAAGCTACTCAAACCTATGTGTTATTAAATTGTTGAGAAGTGGAGTCATTTATGGAGTAAGAATTCACTTCTATTCAATTTTCTTATGCAATGTGTTATAAATGTTAACCAACTTATTTTTTTAAAGGGTTTATATTGATGAGTTAAAGAGGAGTCAACCAAACATTTCCAGTACTACCATTGATGGTAAATTGGAAAATGAATTTGCAAATTGGTTCAATGACTATGTAAGACTTGTATATATATTATATTATTATGTATATTAAACTTCAAATTATTTAATAAACTTTAACACTTATATTATGTATTATATAGACACATGATCTTTCAAATAACATTTCAAACAAATTTATAAAGGATCTTGCAAAAGGGCCACTAAGATGCGTTAATACCTATTCAGGGTATTATGTTAATGGCTTTAAATTTCACACCATTGGTTATGGTGGAGCTAAAGAAACAATGAATACTGGAGTTTGCATAAAAGGTACAAATTATAGTATAGATGAAAGTGAGTATTATAGCCGATGGGTAGAAGTTCTACAAGTAGAGTACCCTGGCTTACCAATTAAGAGGACAATATTATTCAAGTGTGGGTGGTTTGACTCGATAAGTGTGGGCATGAAGGTTCATTCTGAGTATAAACTTGTTGAAGTTAATCATAAGCGTTGATTTAATCGCTATGAACCATTCGTTCTAGCAATGCAAGCCGCTCAAGTTTATTATTGTACATACCCAAGTTTGCGTCGCGACAAACTTGTCTAGTGGGCTGTTTGCCAAATTAAAGCGAGATCTGAAATAGTAGTTCCTGAATCATCTATATCTACTGAAGAATCACAAATACCTGTACCATTTCAAGAGGAAATTACCGACAATCATGATCTCATGCAAATAGATGAAGACCCTTTGCATTTAAATTACCCAAATGGTGGGGTGATAGAATTTGATGGTGAACATGGTGACATCGAAGATGAACTTGAGTTAGAGGAAGAAATAGATGACTCAAGTGGAGGTTTAGTAATAGGAGATAGTGATAATGTTATTGATAGTTACTACATAGTTTACATAGTAAATGGACATGTTATATTTATATGTTATTTAACTTTATTATATTTTATTTTAGATGACACGAGGTGGTAGTAGAGCTGGACGCATAAGAGGACGTTGACGCGATGCATCGGTTACAATTTCGAGTTCTAGCCCATCATCGTCTACACTTCCTTTTCTTGTGGCACCTCCTCCTACTATAGTATCTCCAGCTATTGTCTCACTTGCTTCTATTGGTTCACCACCTGACTTGCCGATTCCATCACCATCATACTCTACTGCTCCACCCACATCCTCATCAATTACAGGATCATCTACTGCTTGTGATTTGTCTATTGTTCATGTAGAGCATGGGAGGTAAAAATGTGTTATTATGTTTACATTTATGTGTATATTATTTTTATCTTTATTAATCTTTTATATATGTACAGGTTAATGCCTTCTCACGCATGTTCAAATACAATTACAAAATTATTGAAGCAAAGGATCTACCCTAATGGGTATACTTGGAAGACTGTGTCTAATGAGTACAATGAATCATACTTTGAAGAATTTAAGGTAAATTCACGATATGTTTTTGAAAATAGTGTGGTTCATTCTTGAAGCTAGAATGTTATTTAATTTATGTTAGTAACTTTGTCCAATGCATCTTATGGATGATATTGAATATATTTGATAAATTTGTAATTTGTAATGTTACAGAAATTTTTCAAGTGGAACGAGTCCATTAACAGTCAAGTACATAAAGCGTTTTTAACACAAGCAAGCACACACTACAGATATGGTCTCCAAAATGAAGAAGAATCGGACTTCATCTGGGAAGCCAGATTTTGTACATGAAGATACATGGCGCATTTGGGAGGCATATTGGGATAGGCCTGAAGTGAAAGCTAAATCTGAACAACAACGCAAAAATAGGATGAGTGAGGTAGCAGGACCTGGTACGGGATGCTCTCGACATATCGGAGGATCTAGATCAACTATTGAGCACTATCACACATTGGTAATACATTTAACATAAAAATTTATTATTTGTATATATTTTATGTATTTAAGTATCATTTAATTGTTTGTGCTTGTTTAATAGCGGGATAAACTTCAAAAGGAGCATGATCTGTTTGAGTGCTTTGCGCATACGCACAAAAAGAAGGATGGTACATTCTTTGATGAGAGGTCAAAGAAAATCGTTGTAAGTATAACCTAACAACCGTATATTGTTAAATAGATAAAATTCTTATATGCCTTTATATATTTGTCTTATTTTGTATATGTTTTTAATTGTAGGACAAAATACAAGCACGGTGTGATGCTGCAATGCAAGAGGCGGAAGGGTCAACTGAGCCACCAGTTATAGACATGTCACCGATGTATGTGGATGTTGTTGGTGGGGTAAAAACACAGCGTATTTATGGCTTAGGGACTAAGTCATCTGCATTTATCAGCGGGAATAGTTGTAGTTCATCTGCTACTTCACAACTTCAACAAGAGGCAATAAAGGAGATGGTGAACCAACAGTTAGAGACCATGCGAGTTGAGATGGAAGCAAAACTACAAGCTGAAAGAACTGAGATGGAAGCTAAACTACAAGCTAAAAGAACTCAAATGCAGACTCAAATTGCAAGTTTGCTGGATGAGTTGCGTCGCAACGGCATGCTATCCAATCCAAGTACTCAAGCTCAACATTCGGCTAATTCAAATGATGAAAACTTAGGAGAAGATTAGATTATTTTTATTAATATATTTGGTAATGGTTCTAATGATGTAACATTATATTGCTATACTTATGTTATTGTTATTGACTTTGAATGCTTTAATATAATTATTTTATAATTATATTATTAAAGTATTATATTATAGGATTAATGCATGTTTTTTATATTAATTAGCGGGTACATTTATTTTATTAATTTTTAGAATTTAGCGACGGACAAATATAATAGAAAGGCAACGAAATAGCGACGGAAAATCTGTAGTTAAATTTAACGACGGATATTTTTGTCACTAAGTTGTAGCTAAATGAAATTCAATTCAAATAATAATAAAAAATAGCGACGATAATTTCCGTCATTATATTAACGACGGACCTGTCCGTCACTATTATTAGCGACGAAAAAATCTGTAGCTAGGCCGTCGCAAATCTCGTCGCCAGATCGTTATAGTAGAAAATTAACGACGGATATTTTTTTTTTAGCTACGGCATTTTCGTCGCTAATTGTACCGATAGAAAATTCCGTCGCTACTCGCTCACAAATTTCCTCTTCGAATCCATCGTCGGAAGAATTCTAGCGAGGATGTATTTCGTTTTGCGACGGACATTTCCGTCGCTAAGCGACATTAAAAAATTTGTGTCGCTAAATTCTAGCGACGAGGGTTTTCGTGATAGACGAAATCCATCGCTAAACCCTTTAGCGACGGATTTTCACTATTTATCGACGGGATTCGTTCGTCGCTATTCCAGTGTTTTTTTGTAGTGACAGTTAGGGTGTGGTGTGTGCAGATGGAGAATTTCTGGATTAACCACAGTTGTTACAACATGGATGACTTCGCCCGCGCTGTGATGTTGTATGTGTTGCTTTTGACAGTGTGTGCGTATTGACTGCGTTATGTATGGACATGCCAGCCTTGTAATGATTATTTAATAACGTGTGCATTGTGTGCACCGAAGGAATACACACGCGTGGTGATGTGTGCGTTATCATATTTTATGGGTTCGGCTAGATTACTGGATTAGGACGGTGTGTACGTATTGGCTCCACTACATATGCACACGTCAACCGATTTATTGTTATTTAACAGCTTGTGCAACGTGTACACCAAAGGAGTGCACACACATGGTGTTGTGTGCCTTATGACATTTTATGCCTTTCGACTAGAGTATTGGCTTTGGACGGTGTGTGCGTAGTGACTATTACGTATGGACACGCCAACCGTATAGTTGTTACTCCCTCCATCCCATTTTACCTGTCTTACTTTCCTTTTTAGTTTGTCCCAAAATGGTGTCATCTTTCCAAAATTGAACATAAGTATCACTCTACATTTCCCAATTTACCCTTTTGACTTTTCAAATTTCAAGAGGTAAGTACAATTGTACTTTGTACAAATAACACCTACTTTTGAGGGGCAAAATTGAAAAGTTAGTAATATTTGTTATTTTGTATTAAAATCCGTGCAAAAAGCAAATGGGACACTCAATTAGGGACGGAGGGAGTATTTAACAGCATGTGCACATCATTTTAGCGATATATGCATCTGCTAGTTGCATGTTCTGAGTCTCTAATTAGTTATAGTTTACATAGGTACAATTATGTCCGAAGCTTTATCCCACTAGAATACTTAGAATGACCAGCACCTTCTTTGAAAATGAAGAGGGTATTTATAGACGTGTGAAATTAATTCCGTTGGAGAGAAACCCAATTTCAAAAGGCCTAGGTGACCGGCAGGTAATATAATCCAGAGAGGTAGGTGAGTTGTCAGATTTCTAGCCGTTAACACCACGAAATGCGTCGAACCTATGCTTTTGTTCTGCACACGTTATCTTGGCATTTAATGCAAAATCGACCTTGGGATATGTTCCTAGGACTCACTTTGTCTTAGGAAATAATCACTCACTTTTTAAGGTTTAGGACTATTTACGTCAGTGAATCATTTCTGGCAGTCCTACGAGTTGTTAACTCGATTAATGCCTCGAACCTTGTGTCCTTTCGGATATGATGGGTTGACTTTGTCAATCAACACTTAACTCCTTGAATGATCTTCCTTTATCACTCGGTCTTGATACTACAAAAGAGGTAAACTCTTCCACGTTTCGATCTTTGCAACCTCTAGGTCTTTGTCTTCAAGTCTTCATCTTCAAATCTTCTGTCTTCAGTCATTCGTCTCTGATTACAGCTCGATTACAAGTCGTTGAGAGACAACCCCTCTATGAGACCCCAAAATGCATTTTCACAAAACTCCTATTTTATCAAATTTTAAAATAAAACTATTCGAGTAGTATTTAGTCCTACGATAATTTTCCAGTGAGTATATAAATAAAATATTTTTAACTCCGTATTTCAAAATGATTTAGCACAAAGTATTCATATACTTATTTATGATTTTTAATTCCCTATTTAAGGAAAATATTTATTATCCAAAATCTTGATCCAAAAGTCTATCTGTGACGAACCTGTGAACCTAATAGCCAAGTTTTAATCCAAATTTGATTTCGAAATGGACTTAACCTATTATTTTATTTATTATGTTAAGATTTCTTAGGCTTACTCAGAGCCACCTTAAGCACTTTAGTTCATGATATGCTAAACATGCTCTTTCTTTTTTTTTTTAATCAAACGCAAACAGATATCATTAAACATTCAGCAAGCCAACAATACAATCTGGTGGGATAATATCCCACGACTTTGAGACAAACGAAGAATCGGTTACCCGTGCCAGTACGTGAGCCACCTGATTCGCTGTTCTCTTAACATGGAGGACCTTGACATCCCCAATGCCCCTAGCAATCGACACACATTGCTTTACAACCAACCCTACACATGAAAAATCTACCTCATGGGAATTAAAAGCTTTACAAAAATTTAAACAATCAGATCCCAAAATGATATTATTCAAATGAAAACCCGCCAACAATGTAAGAGCTTCCTTTGCCGCGAGAGATTCAGCCAGCAACGGATCCTGATTACATGCAACGCTTCCGCTCCGTGCAGCAACAAAGTTACAGGACTGGTCGCGAACAACCGCACCATAACTAGCCCCATCAGCAAAAACGGCCGCATCCACGTTGCATTTGAGGACGTTTTGCGGTGGTGGTTCCCAATCTCTGCCGGACATGCAATTAACCACAGATTGCCTGGAGCCAACGAGCCCTTCCTTTCACGTTAAGCGCAGTCTCTCGACCTGCAGCCGTAGCCCCTCGATCGACACCTGCCGTTGCTGCCAAACAATGTCATTCCTTGCGTTCCAAACAGCCCAGAAGATGGCTGCTAGCTTAACTGACCGTTCCAAATCGGCACTGCCCAGAACCGTCTCCAGAACTGTCGCTAAGCAGCCCCCCTGCAACACGTCCGTTTCACCCCAAATCCTTACAGCCCACACACACTCACAAAACAGATGTTCGGCAGTCTCCATCACAAACCCGCAAAAAGGACAGCCACCCCCAATCCATACCCTTTTCTGCTTCAAATTCTCCTGGACCGGTAGTACACTGCGGGCACAACGCCAAAGGAGATTCCGAACTTTGGGAGGCACCGGCAATGACCACATACGATTCCAAGAACGAAAATCGACGATAGAAGCATGCTGCATTGGGGGTTCAGTAAGAAGACGGTAACCGTGTTTCACTGTGTAGCATCCCCGTAGATCGCCTACCCAACGCCACGAATCCCTGTACACCTTATTAACTGGGGTAAAAATGATTCTGCGCACATCATCCTCCCAGAACAAATCCCGTATCACACCCTCATCCCATTCACCTTGTGCGTCTAGCAGTCCACTGACTGTTTCATCTTTGAGACCTTCAAGACACGGAGTATTAAGAGCTGGATTCGTAGGACTAGCAAGCCAACCCCAACCCCAAATTTTGGTATCCACGCCATCGCCAATCCGTCTCGCTAAGCCCCTCTTTAACACCTCCTGTCCCGCCAAAATGCTACGCCACAGATAGCTAGGATTTCCACCTAAGGTTGCTTCCATGAAATCACAAGTGGGAAAATACTTAGCCTTTAACAACCTGCTTGCCCGCGAATCCCGGTAGATCAGCAGACGCCAACCCTGTTTAGCCAACAATTCCAAATTGAATTCGTGCAACCGTTTAAACCCCAACCCTCCCCTAGTCTTCGGCTCACACAACCTCTTCCAACTCAACCAATGTATCCCTCTAGTGCCCGTACCTCCTCCTCCCCACCAAAAACGGTTGAATAATTTCTCTAGAGTGTCACACACCCGAGCTGACAACAGAAACATGGACATAGTAAAAATAGGAAGTGCTTGAGCAATACTTTTAAGCAAAACCTCTTTACCTGCCCTCGAAAGTAATTTATGTTGCCACGATCCAATCTGTTCCCGAACCTTTTCCTCAACGAACCTGAACGCAGCTATTTTGTTCCTCCCTATCACCAAAGGCAGTCCCAGGTATCGCCCTAGATCATGAGATTCCCGGACCCCAAAGCATTCGATCACCCGTTCCCTTGCTGTGGTGGTGGTATTTACACTGAAAACTACACAGGACTTATCAAAATTGATCAATTGGCCCGACGCATCACAATACCCTTCCGAACAGTCTTTGATAATCCCGGCTTCTTGCTGATTGGCCCTAAAGAAAAGTAAGCTGTCGTCAGCAAAAAACAGATGGGTGATAGACGGGGCGCCCCGTGCTATCCTCACCCCATGAATATCACCGCGGGCCTCTACCCGTTGCAAAAGAATCGACAAGGCTTCGACACATAGAATAAAAAGATACGAGGACAACGGGTCCCCTTGTCGGATACCCCGCGATGGCCAAACTGTGCCCACCGCCTCCCCGTTAACCTGAATAGAGTAGTTAACAAAAGAGACGCATAGCATCAACAATCTCACCCACTGGGGATCAAAACCCAAAGTTAGCATCATCCCTTCCAAAAAACCTCATTCCATCCTGTCGTACGCTTTAGCCATATCAAGCTTTAGCGCCACCCACCCCATCGCCCCACCCACTTTCCTCCGGAGATAATGACCCACCTCCCCAGCCACTATAATGTTGTCGGTGAGCAGTCTCTCGGGAACAAACGCACTCTGAGACTGCGACACCACGAAGCCCAAGATGGCCTTGAGTCTGTTGGCCAGCATCTTGGCCAGCACTTTGTAAACAACATTACAAAGCGCAATTGGCTGCCAATCGGCGACAGTCTCCGGCGTCTTGTTTTTAGGGAGAAGCACTATATTTGCCTCGTTCAAACCCCGCGGGAACTCGCAATTGCCGATACAGCCAAGAACAAACATAGACAAATCATGGCCTAACACGGGCCAGAAATGCTGATAAAACGCCGGGGACATATCGTCCGGCCCTGGAGCTTTCTCCGGGGCCATGGAGAATAAGGCAATTTTAACGTCCGCCACCGTGAACGGCTGTAACAGAGAGACATTCATCTCGTCCGACGCATTGCCGAACATGATGAAAGAGATTAACACTGGTATTCCCAGCACAAAAAATAACATTATAGTACCTTAGAATCTCATTGTGCATAGCCACCCCTTCCGTCCACCTCCCATCTTGGTCCTTCACTCGTAACATAAGATTGTGTTTCCTCCAGGCAGAAGCCGCTTTGTGAAAGTATTTAGTATTAGCATCCCCATGTTTTAGCCACAGTTGTTTGGACCGCTGCAACCAAAAGATCTCTTCCTGTCTCATTAGTTTCTCAAGTTCGGCCTCAGCTGCTAAGAACTCCTCCACTGCTTGCGGCGATCTATCTTCTTGAAGCACCGCCAGGCGACCTCGCAACACTCTCATATGGTTCCCAAACTGTCGAACATGTTCCCCTCCCCACCCCCTCAACCGTTGCCCACAGAGAGCAATCCGCTTCTTAAAATCCAAACCTGCCGACTGATTCCAAGCCGACTCCACCACCTTCGCGCAACCTTCCTCAAGGAGCCAGGCTGATTCAAACTTAAATGAGTTTCTAGCAGCACGAATCGGACGCGTTTCCGTGTCAAGGAAAATGGCCCTATGATCCGAGGTAGACATATAGATATTGTGAACCGTAGGTTCCTCGCACCCCTCTATCCAATCAGACGTTGCCACCGCCCTGTCCAACCGTTCCTCCACCCACGCTTCGGTTCCAAGCCCCTTTTCCCATGTGTACCGGCCCCCCGACATTCCCAGATCAACAAGCTGGCAATCACTTAAGGCATCGTTGAAGCCTTCAATAAGAGCCTCTGGGTGCGAATGCTCACTACGTTTCTCTGACAGACAAGCAATGTCGTTGAAGTCCCCCACGACAACCCAAGTGAGTGCCGATCTATCCCCGAGTTCCCGCAAGAGATCCCAAGTGATATGGCGGCTTACCTGGCAACTCGATTTCTGCATCTATGTGGTTATTGGAGAAACTTAACAATGTAACCGCCCCCGCATCCCTCCACAACAGCGCAAGACCCCCTCCCATACCCTCCCGCTCCACACACACGGCCCCCTCAAAACCCAACTTCACTCTCACTTGTTCAATTCTACTAGCCTTCGCTTTCGTCTCTATCAAGAAGACGAAAAAGGGTCGCTCTTTGGACACAACGCCCAAAAGCTCACGAACTGTCCGGGTGCCACCCAAATCCCGGCAGTTCCAGCTGAGGATACTCATTGCGCCGGGCGAGCCTAGCCCTCCAGACCCGCCATCATCGTGTTTTTTGAAGTTTCGGCCATCAACACGTCCCCACCTTGACCCAACCCTGACATCCCGTCCTCCTCCCGACGTCGCTTAAGCTCACCCTGTAACCCAACATTTTCCTCTGCCGTAACCAGAGCCAGAGGCGACGGACCCGGCTCAGCAGGTGGCTTGGTCGTCTGAGTGCCAGACGGCAACAGCCACTTTGCCCCCACCGGCTTCGCTTGACGTCTAAAACCAGCCCGCATCCAACTACCAAATGGGAACGCCTTAGGCAGAATGCCCTCTTCGTACACAGTTTTACAGAATTTGTCGATGTGCCCCAGAAGACCACAACAAAAATAGAATGTGTTAAGTCATTCATACCGGAAATTTATCCACTGAGAAGATCCATCCTTGCGCATCAGCTTCATGCGTCTTTTCAGTGGCGCGGTGATTTGCATCCGCACCCTGATCCGGTAGAAGCTCTTCCATGATCCCCCAAAATTTGTAGGATCGATCGCAACAAAAGCTCCCACATAATTACCGATCCGAGTGAGAAATTCCGTTGATGCGTACATCGCCGGCAACCCGTGAATTTGAATCCAGAAATTGATAAAATCCAATTGAACATCCTCCAGTCTCGTTCCTGGTGGTACCTGATCACACACAAAAGTGTGGTTCTCGAAAGACCAAGGGCCGTCGTCGAGCACCCTGCTTAGATCCTTCGGATGAGGGAACCTGAACAGAAATAACTCCTCCGTCAGCGCCTCCGCCTGGATGCCCATCACCGGCCTCCAGACCGATGCCATGACCTGTTGCATGTGATCGAATTTTATCCGGCGGTCAGTGAGAAACCTCCCAACCAGGCTATGGTGGATCGCCGCGCTATCGGAACAGATGAGGTCAGGAGCCTCAAGCCCACCACTCTCTTCTTCGGCAAGCGACAAAACAGCACAACGCTCCTCAATTTGTTGGACATCCATCGCAAAACAAAACAAGAGAAACAGAGCTTTTACAAATCTCAAACGATTCATCGACATCAAAACAGAAATAAATACCCTAGACAACTAGGGAGATACACTCTTAGACACGATCAAGAGAGAGATCCACTTGCAGCGTAACTCAGGAGGCGGAACACGATCGACGATCACAATCCAGATTAGCAAGTACTACGGAGCATTTTCTCTCTGCCTGAATTATTTCGCGATAGACTATCCTAAACATGCTCTTTACTACAAGGAATATCTCTAATTCTCTTTGACTATAAGTCAAGCAAACAATATGCTACTTCAGGCTTATCACTTTAATACTTAGCAAAACTTCTTAGCAAACACTTAGCAAATATTGATCATGCTCTTTAAATTCAAAATAGACATCATGCTCTAGTAATCTAGCATTTCACTTTACTGGACAAATAAGTGCACGCACTGTACAACCAAATAGCTCATATTCTTGACAAAATTCTCAATAACTCATAATGGTTATTTAAACATGATAATC